ATATCCAAAATTATAGTGAAAGACTGTTAATCTTTAAAAGTAGGAGCAATTACTTCCAAACAGAATCAAGACTAAATTCACTCACATATTAATTATCTAATTCTTTTAAATCAAAAATACAATCATGAAATTTTTGAATAAGTTCTGAAAAAGTTCCAAAGCTTATGAAACCTTCTAAAATGGATGTATGTTTTTAAAATACAGTATGTGGAAAATACAGAAGCATATGATAGGTTTTATGGAGTTTATTTTTAACATGAAAAATTCATCAGGAACATTCCTTATTCATAATTTTGTGTCAAAGACTTTCTTAATCTTTTTCTATCTTCATAAAGTAAAGCTTAGCTCTAGACCTTAAAGTCAGTATTCTCAATATTCTTTAGGGACCTGTAATTCCTTCTCATTATACTTTCATAAAACTAACAAAATTATGAGTGACAGCCTCAAGGGGAAACATAATTACATTTGCCCAAGGCAAAACATTATGCTATAAGAACTAAGAATTGTCATTACAGTAATATGCTTGATTAGGAAAAAAAAATTATTTCAAAACCAACAATGTGTTCAGGTAAAGTAATTAATTAAGGTAGAATAATCTGTTCAAGATTAATACTACATTTAGTTTTTAAAGTAAACTTGCAGTAGCTATTGGGAAATAAATGAGTAAGAAGGGAGTCTTATCAGCAAGCAAAATAAGCAACTTGATTTGTCAAGGAAAAAAATTACAAATTAGAATTTCATTTTCAAAACAGTAAAGGACAATTTTATTCTATGCCTTAACTACATCTTCAGAGCCAGAAGATCTCTCTGATCATGCGGGATTAACTTCCATTCTATTCTCTCTTATTTCATATTTGAAAAGTCCAATCTAAATTGGTGATGGGTAATCCAAACTGTACTAGGTACTGCCATGCTCAAGACTAAGGAGCACATATTCCACTTTACAGCATAGTACTGTTTCCATCAAACACCGCTGCTTTATTATGCTAAATGTTATAACTTGCCATTTAAAAAAAAGGCTATGTGTATTCTGGGCAGAAATCCACTACATGACAGCTTGGTGCATAACTAATTTGAATAACTACCGTGTCTTTTGTATGCTTTTATAATGAACATATCATTTTCAATGTGCTCACAAGTGTAAAATTTTCTCTAATACACATAAATCTATAGAAATAAATTTACTGATGAAAATATCACAAAGCAAATCAACGGAGTTTTAGGTAGCATTTACATTAGAAATGAATCAAAAGAACTACTCTAGTTTCCTTATGCTTTTTTCAGGTTACATAATATTCTCAAACTCCTATCTGGAAAGTATACCACAAAATGCCTTGAATAGAATATATCTATTTTCCATAAAATAGGAAGTTGTTCTTATCTTTAAAAAGACTTTACTATTTTGGTTACACAGTACTGACTTCCAGTAGTATATGAAACCTAACTGATTTCTCTCACAACTTCGTCAGTCCAAAACTGCTCTGTTCAACTTTGCTATAAGATATTCACTAAAATGATTTAAAATCATGTTATATTTTTAACAGTGGTTACAAAGAAAGTTATTTACAAGCTAGAAGTAAAAATGGAAAAATTTAAAAACAAGTTCTATACAGTGTGCTACCTTTCAAATAAGAGAGAATAAATGTAAATTAGTTCATTAAAAATAAAAAATTTTAAATAAAAATTTAAAAATATGGAATATACACAGTATTACTATTTACTCCTATTTTATTTAAAAAGTAGGAGGATATAGTATACATAAAAGTAGATTTAGGGTAGGGGGTATAAAGATTGAAAAAGTGTGGCACATATACTCCATGGAACACTATTCAGCAATAAAAAAACAATAAGACCCTGGCATTGGATATAAAGTGGACAAATATGGAAGATTTACTGCTGAGTAAAGTGAATCAGACTATGAAAGAGAGACATCATAATATTTCCACTTAATACATACCAACTGTCTGCACTCTATGGTAGAGACTAAAAGACTGGAGGACAAATGTACGACATTTGTGGGACAAAAAAATGGTTTATTACCTGTTGATGATGACATGTATAGCATTCTCAAATAGACCGGTCTGAGGTGTATTTCATGTTGGATAAACACTATACACAAGTTAAATGATGTACAGTGATTGAATGTATAAAAATAATAAGAATACATTTTTAAAATGCTAAATGAAAAATAAATAAATTAAATTTCAATCGCTTCTGAAACACAAACTAGAAAAACAAGGCTATCAACACATTCCTTGGATAACATATTTCTATATAGGCTATTCATAGAACTAGAGAATTTGTTTGATATTTATGTATTTTCACATAATTGTGCTAGAGGTCAAGGGAGGGAGGGTGAAATCTGATGGTAATTGTGAATTAGTGGAGTGTGAGGACATACAGAAAAAGGAAAGTAAATATTATGTTGAGAAAAGAGAAAAAAAATTTCTTTTTTTTTTCTCTCACTGGAAAGAGACGGAGAGACAGAAAGTAAGAAATCACCCCCCAGGGGAGATGGCCACAACCAATCCCTTCTTCTCCATTCTCCTCTCAGGATTTTGGGCATGCACGTACACTCACCCAGTGAGAGTTTCAAGCCACTGGGTTAATAGAACATTAAAGACAAATTTCAATTTAAGTACTACACTACAAGAAGCAATGCAAGAAATGTTTAGTTACTTCATAAATATCCACAACTGTAACTAGTATATTTCCAGGCTCATTTTTTTCTCCATATTTCTATATCTAAACTTTCATTTCCATCCCTGAAACTGTCTTTAGTATTTACTTTTTCTTTTTAATCATATGCAACCATGAAGCTGCATCAAGTCTTAAAACATAGAAATGAGAATTGATGCTCTGATTAAAAAAAAAATAACAGAGTACTGGCCCATTAAATAGTTACAAGGTCAAGGTCAATGGGAGTGAAAACATACAACAATCATTCTCAAGTTAATGTCCACTTCCAAATGCTTAAAAAGTTCTTAATAAAGAATTTATTCTTTATTACAACGATCTCAGGTATGACTCTGTGTTACCCTGAAATCATTCATTATCTCAAGAGCATGGTGCAGAAGTTTCTTAAAAACTTTATGTCATGGGAACCAGCAGTTACCATAATGGCTATGTCACTGGACTCCCACGTAGTTGACCACGGTTCACGTCCCGGACCCGGTGGCTTAAAACTCACGCCGGGTGCGTGTGCGTGCGTGCCCAAGATGCTGAGAGGAGAATGGAGGAGAAGGGATTGCGGCGTGACCATCCCCCCTGGGGGGTGATTTCTCGCTTTCTGTCTCTATGTCTCTCTCTGTCTGTCTGGCGAGCACACGCGCCCTATAGCGAAAACCTCTCCAAAAAAAAAAAAAAAACTTTATGTCATGGGATCAGCAGTTGGCGTAATGGCTTATGTCACTGGACTCCCAGGCAGTCAACCACAGTTCGAGCCCCAGACCTGATGGCTTAAACTCACATTGGGCGCGTGTGTGTGCATGTCCAGGATCCCAAGAGGAGAATGGAGGAGAAGAGATTGCAGCGTGGCCATCCCCCCCCCACCCCAGGGGGGGTGGTTTTTCGCTTTCTGTCTCTCTGTCTCTCTCTTTCTGGCACGCACATGCGTCCTATAGCAAAAACCTCTCAAAAACAAAAACAAAAAAATCTTTATGTCATTAACTGAGTCATTTATCCAGTGAAATGTCCACTTTTCAGGAATTAAGTAGTGCAACAACATAATAATATCACACAAAATCACAACCACGCATAACAGAAACTATCAAGTTTAAGGCCACCAAGATAAATGTCTATTTGTAAGAAGTACTCCCTCTGACAAGGTTTTTATTAAAAATAATAATAATAATAATAATTTAGGGGCTGGCAGGTGGCGTGGTGGTTAAGGGCACTGGACTCCCACATGGCCGACGGTGGTTCAAGTCCCAGACCTGGCGGCTTGCTATCTCACTCCTCCCCCTCCTCACCCTCCTGTCACTCTTTAGTCAAATTTAAATAAATAAATAAATAGATAAAGTTAGATCATTCTTTTTAAAAAATAATAATTATACATACACAAAATCTTGTGGGAATTATCAAGTAAATGTTATGGAAAGAAATGAAGAAATTTAACTAAAATATTAAATTGGCCCTGCAAACAGCACCAATATCCTTCCAATAAGTGAATGGGGAAATCAACTGTGGTACATCCATAGAATGTGTTATAGTCAGTAACAGAAGGAACAAAGCACTGATACACTTAACAGCCCAGATGACTCCAGAGAGTAATGCTGGAGTCATTTAAAAAAAAAAAACAACTTATCTCAAAAGCCTATACACTATAATGTCATAAATATTATGAAATGACAATTTGATAATGAGAATTTTCAGAAATGGAAAACATAGGATCTCTCTGTATTATCTTTTTTTTTTTTTTTGGAGAGGTTTTCGCTATAGGGCGCATGCGCTCGCCAGACAGACAGAGAGAAACATAGAGACAGAAAGCGAGAAATCACCCCCCCAGGGGGGATGGTCACACCACAATCCCTTCTCCTCCATTCTCCTCTTGGGATCTTGGGCACGCACACACACGCGCCCGGCATGAGTTTTAAGCCACCGGGTCCGGGACGCGAACCATGGTCGACTATGTGGGAGTCCAGCGACATAGCCATTACGCTAACTGCTGGTTCCCTCTGTATTATCTTTTACAGCTACATATGAGACTATAATTATCTCTAATAAAAACTTTAATGATTCAAAAACTCATTAACATTACCTGGGTGGTCAACTAGGACCAAAAGTAGAGGTAAGTGACATTCTCATAAACCCCTTCATATACAAAAACTTGCTCAACAAAAAGACAAAAGGAACGGATAAAATGACTAAAAGACATAGAACTATCAGAGAAAACAATGAAGGAAGCAATAATGGTTATAACTGAACAGTTAATAAATATTTAGATATATTTAGGGACATACTAAATTTCATTCTGTATCAACTCAAGAGGGAAGGCTTACCCGATGCTTTGCCTTAATTTTCTTCCTATATTCTTCTTTGTCAAATTTGTCCTCTTCCTGAAGCCTTTCCTTTGCTTTATTTAAGTTGATACCACCAGTGTCATCATCTTCTTCTGTATCATTCATGATGGATTTCTGCATTTGTGGCCCTGAACCAACTACACACAGAACAAAGGGTAAGTGTGGGGCAGGAACCAGGGAACATCCACAGAAAACTATTTCTCTTTTACATCATAAAGTTGAATGGTACATATACCCACATTATACCTTAAGACCTGTTCTTTTTTTTAATTTGTATTTTTTTTATTTGCCAGAGGGTACAGGCATGTGCCAAAGAGTGAGAATGGAAGTAAAAGAGAGAGAAAGCATTCCCCTCCATTTATCCCCATAGAGGCTGGTCATGCTGCAACCCTCTTCCTTCCATTTTTCAATCCTATCAGGATCCTGGGTACACAAACATATGTCCAGCATGTTTTTCAAGCCTCCAGGACCAGGTGGTATCCAACTCCCTATGCACAGCACTTAACCACTGTGCTATGGGGCTGGCCCACAACAATCTGTATTTCTTAGATGTTCTAACAAACTTCATAATTAAAAGGGAGAAAATGACAGAAAAGATTATCTCAGTCAGGTAAACTAATGGTGCCACAAGCCTAATGAGAAGATTGAAAAAAAATTCACAAAATAACTGTAGAAGGTATTTCCAGAACACCTGCAACACCTTCTCAGAGTCCTCAGCAGCCTAGTCTTCATGAGACTCAGCTGAACGTTTACCTGCCTAGAGCAGCACTCAGGCAGACTAGCATGTACCTCCTGGCAACTGTGGCACCTGCAGGTCCACCTAACATCTCTCTCTCTCTCACTGTGCTGTTTTACTGTCCTGTTTCTTTTAATAGAATTAATCTCCTGGAAGGCAGCTTTTATCTTGTTCATTTATTCACAGAGCCCAAGAAAGAATCTGGCACATATTAAATAGGTGCTCAAAATTGATTCATGAATCATATATGAGTCCTTACACAAAAGGATTGAAATAAGTAAATGTACAGAATATTAGTTCGGGTGTCATAGGCCTCGTCAAATTCACATGATTTTACACATGATTTATGGTTAGGAACAAGGTAACACAGAAAATGCAACACTGATCTGAGAGTATGGAGACCTGGCTGAATGTCCTAGCTTATTTACTAGCATACTATACAATACTGAATAAATTACTTCTCTTTAGACACCTCTGTCCTTTCCAGAAAAGTAGAGTGGTTTGGTTGCCTCAATAATCTCAGGTCTCACAGTATAAGGCTCTATAAAGACAATTTAAATAAAAATGATTCTCTTATTTTATCTAATAATTAGTTGCCAGAAGGATTTAAATAGCTGCCACTGTTTTGAAAGGCTGCTAATTAACCTGCGTAAACTGGAAATGGTAGAATTGTAGGCAAGCACATCTCAGGTATTATTGCCTCTTCTTACTCTTGTTTCCACCAGAGCCATTCTTCAAGATGATATTTCTTTAGAGTCTCAACTTTTGGCACCCAACAGGGGTGACGAATATTACTACTGCAAGAGCGGCCATGCTAGCAGTCATTGGCTCTCAAGAAGCAGTAAGAGGGATCAGCCAACAGTAAAAATATCATCCAGAATCCTCAAACCTACTTCTACACACAGAGAAAAAAAGGTCATCCTTCTTTGAGCTGACTGGATAGTAGCATATCTTTCAGAGCTTTAGATCATAAGTTTCAGAGTTTCTCACAGTCAAAGACAGGTCCTATCTGAAACATTTTGTAGTTAAAGATTTACACTCATCTTGGAGCTAATTGGTATAATCCATGCAGTTAAGTTTAGCATCACATTAAGGAACCTAATTATGGTAACGGTACACATCTTATTTTATAGTGAACTTCAGATTTAATACAACTACATTCTAGTGTACACTGCTTATCAGGTGCTCATCTCTTTCTCTCCCTCTTTCAAATTTCCAGAGGGTGTATGCACCCACCAGAAAGAGAAAAAGAGAGAGAGAGAAAGAGTGAGTACAAACACAAACACACACACACATACACACTCCCCCAGTGTTTTTTAAAGCTACAGCCAGGACTCAAGCCACATGGGATTCGGCTCCCTTACCTACTAGGATATGGAACCTACTCAGGTGCTGGCCTCTTTTAGTGATTTCATAAAGAGTCATTATTTTTCACTTTTAGGCTTCTTCATAAACTTTTAGAAACTTCAAATTGCACTGTTACTTTCCATCTAATTCAAACACCCCAAGATAATATCCAAATCTTTAAAACCTTCAAAATTAAAAGGAAACAAACTCCACTGAATACAGAATGCTTACGGAGCATTTGTATTAGAGATGATAAACTAAATAATGCCACTACAGTGAATATGAAAAGCTCGGTTATCTTATAGAAATAATAGATGATGATTCTTTTGGTTCAATTAATACTTCTGGGTGTTATTATATAAATATGTTAGGCACTGTTCTAAATGCTGGGGATGGAATGGTGACTAGTTAATAAAATACCTTCCCTAATGGAAAATTAGAGTACAATAAATTGACAATAGCAAAATAAATATAGACCAAATTTATTGCTTGAATTTTTAAGAGTCAAGGAAAAGAAGCTGCGACAGGTAGCTGTTAGCATTCTTATGCTTGCTTCCACAGGGCATGCTGATGAACACCAGACAATATCTCTAAGAATGGGATTTACAAAGTTCAAAAGCAACTCTATGTCAGTAAGAATTATCTCAGTTTATGGCCAGTAAGGCACCCTTGTCCACTGTGGCAAGGCCGATGAAATCTCTACTAACAGTGAAAAGAACTTCCAAGTGCTTCAGAGAAACATTTACTCTCTCAGTAATAAATGGCGAGTTAGCGGGAGAGCCAAACTCCTCGTAATATTTGGAATAAAACTCAGAAAGTAAGCATTTATAGAATCTTACCTCCCCTTCATCAGTGAAAGTTATTTTCTTATTCACTTTAAAATTTCTCTTCATTATTTTTTTTGCTTCTGCAACTTTGGTCACTTTTTTCTTGACACTGGATTTAGAAGTTTCTTTCTTCTGTTAGAATACAGACACAGACACAAAAATACAGTTGATTAGGGAAATAGTTGCTTTATAGTGACAATTTAACTCTGGCAAAACTAAGAATACCTACCTGTTCATTGGCAAATAAGCTTCAAAAACACTGTCCAGAAATAAAATTATTAAACTTACTAATGAATGACCTCTCCCATGCTAAAAGCATAAGGGTAAACAAGATGGATATTAGGCTTAAATAATCTCTACATTTTCTTCTGCTACTAGAACTGTGCTATCTGATAGTTCTGAGGCACCAGAAACCATGATAATGTAATAAATGTATGTAATCTTTTAGCTAAATATAAAGTATATCTCTTTACAATCTCAAATCCAAACTTCGGTTTCCATACTAGGTAAATGTATATCTCAAAAGCAAAATGACTTTAATACATTGTTTATAACTCAATAATCTTCATCGAATTATAGTAATTTACTATATGAACACTGGAAAACACCCTACGATAACTAAGCTGTGTCTGAAGGTAAGATGGAGTAAGAGTACTTAGGATATACTGATCAAGACCTACTTAACTGTCTAAAACCACTACAGAAAGACATTAAAACTCAAAGCCACTGCTTGCTTATGCTTGATAAATGCTGAGTGAACCACCTGAGCTGAGGAAAGGAAGAGGTCAGAGCACAGCCTGCTTTGATGATAAGGTGACAAGAAGCACTCACCTTAGAGACAGTCTCCTCAAATTAGAGTCAATAGTACCACTAGTGATACTGCCCTCTTTGCCAATATTCTAATGAACCCCTCACAATGTATTTATCAAGATGTGAAATCTTTGTTTCTTAAAGATGCTTCAGTATTTTTCTTTATCTCATCATTTATTATTTCATTATAAACTAATCAGAGAGACAAAATAAGTAGAAGTCTCTGGAGTAGTAGTTAAGAAAATGGATTTAGGTCAAGTTCTACCACTAATGAGGTATGTGAGGGCACGTTACCTAACATCTGTGCTTTACTTACAAATTGAGGATCATAATAGTACCTATTTTGTACTATCATAATAGTACATAATAGTACCTGTCAGTAGGATTAAATAAAAAGTGTAAAACATACAGAAAAAACAGTCTTTGACAAATCTCAAAGGCCACTTATATTTATTGACTTTATTTTACATAAGAAGATCCTGTCAACTGCGTAGGCTTCATTTGCAAAACACCAAATTTCAAGCTTCCGAGTTGATTTTCAACTATGTTACAGAACTACCCAAAGAAAAGAAAGGAGGTACTGACCTAAAAACAAGAATTCTAACAAGTGTCAGAAAATGTACAACAGTTACAAATGTTGTATTATGACAAGTATGCACAGAAAAGAACAATTCACTTGATATTGTTAATGATGAATACGTAAGTGCTTAAAAATTAAACACCATAAATTAAAACAAACTTGCTAAAATATAGGTTTTGTGACTCAATATATTAGATTTCTAAATAGTAATCATGATTCTTAGGAAAATAAGCTAGAACATCTGCAACAATATCATGATGTAAGTAGAAGAAGTTGTTTTGACACTAATATTTCTGTTAGGTAGGTATTGCTAACAAAACAGTTTTTGTATTTCTGGTCTTTAAACATGCAAGTTATAATACCTAATTATTATTTATTAGACCACAAACCAATTCATGTTTTAGAAGCTTCAAATCATAGAAAGTTTCTGAAAAGATTAATCACCTCTGATATTTGTATGCTACAGTCACTAGACCTACCTCACAAGACTTTTAGGAAAAGTGGTTAGATTTGTTTTAGACTTCTTTTTCCCGTGGGATATCCCATCTTTTCCACATCCAGTGGTCTATGATTTCATGAATGTTACCAACTGGTGAATAAGGCTCTCAACTGCTGTGCCTACTCTTCATGACCCTTCTTCACAAATGAGCTCAAAGATACATGACTATTGTTCTTTCTCAGGAAAAATTACAACCCGCAGTTCTTTATCTCACTTTAGAGCATGTTTGAGTGACTAAGCTATATGGTACTGTAACTCCTAAATTGAGAAGAAATGACTAGAGTGGCAGGAAACTTGTTAATCTGAGTAAGCTGCTACCGGTAAGACCTCTAGGAGCACAGGAGATTAAGAGTTTGTGGGACCAGCAGTTAGCATAATGGCTATGTCACCGGACTCCCACATAGTTGACTGCGGTTCGTGTCCTGGACCCGGTGGCTTAAAACTCACGCCGGGCATGTCTGCATGCGTGCCAAAGATCCCGAGAGGAGAATGGAGGAGAAGGGACTGCGGCGTGACCATCCCCCCTAGGGGATGATTTCTCACTTTCTGTCTGTCTCTGTCTCTGTCTGTCTGGCGAGCCCTTTAGCAAAAACTTCTCCAAAAAAAAAAAAAAAAAAGAGTTAGATACCAACTCCTTCAGCCCAATCAGTATTCTTATGCCTCCTTTTCCCCACAAAGGCTGGAACACTACCAACATAACCTCCAAGACTGAGAACTTTGATACTGAACACTACTGAATCTTTCTGGTTTTAAGACTAGATGAATTTTTTAAATATTTATTATTTTATTATTATTCACTTTAATTTGCCATAGTGCACATGAGCTCAACAGAGAGAAAGAGAGAGAAAGTGAGAAAACAAGCCAGAGTCTACGAGAGAGGGGCAAAGCGAGAAAACAAGCAGTCAAGCCTGGGACTCAAACCACGGTTAACTCCAGCGCCTCAACAATCATGCCACCAGCTGGACACTAGACCAATTTTTAAGGATCCTGGATTGACTGATCTTTTTTCACCAGACCTTATCTAATCATACAATGTCAATCAAACAATAAAAATTGAGAGGACTGGGACCAGCAGTTGACGCAATGGCTATGTCACTGGACTCCCATGTAGTAGACTGCAGTTCGAGTCCTGGACCCAGTGGCTTAAACTCTCACAAGGTGCGTGTGCATGCATGTGCATGCGTGCCCAAGATCACAAGAGAAGAATGGAGGAGAAAAGATTGCAGCATGGCCATTCCCCCTGGGGGATGATTTCTCGCTTTCTGTCTCTCTCTATCCTGGTGAGAACACACGCCCTATAGCAAAAACCTCTCAAAAAAAAAAAAGAATAAATTGAGATGACCATTATAATGTAAACATAACAAGACTAAGTTAGGATCACTTAAACCAGTACACTAAAAGTACTGGGACACAATATGAGCATACTTTCCAGGGTAATGATAACATTCTGTATCTTAGTAAGAGTTTGGATTATGTGTGTGTACACTTTTGTCAAAACTCATCAGATGCGGGACCAGCAGTTAGCATAATGGCTATGTCACAGGACTCCCACGTAGTCGACCGCGGTTCGTGTCCCAGACCCGGTGACTTAAACTCACGCTGGGTACGTGTGCGTGCATGCCCAAGATCCCAAGAGGAGAATGGAGGAGAAGGGATTGCAGCGTGGCCATCCCACCGGGGGGCCTGATTTCTCGCTTTCTATCTCTCTGTCTCTCTGTCCCTGTCTGTCTGGTGAGCGCATGTGCCCTATAGCAAAAACCTCTTAAAAAAAAAAAAAAACTCATCAGATGTTATACTTAGCATTTTACTGTATATAAATATCTACCACAGAAACACGAGTCATACAACCAAATACTTAACTCCAGTTAATGTCATGCAGGCTGAAATATATGAGGGAATATGCAATAAAATTGGCAACTAATTCTGAAATGCACTTAATAAAAATGAATGATGGTATCAGCAGATGGTACAGCAATTACACTGCTGGATCCTCAGGTGGTCGACAGTGGTTCAAGTCCTGGATCTGGTGGCCTGAAAATTATGCCGGATGTGTGAGCATATGTGACCAAGATCCCAGGAGGAGAATAGAGAAGGGACTTTGGTGTGACCATCCGCCCCTGGGCAGTTATTTCTCACTTTTCCTCTCACTGTATCTGTCTTTTTCTCTTCCTGCAAGCACATGTGACCTAAGGAAAAAAACCTCTTTAAAAATGGTGGTGGTGTGGGGGGGATACGGGGACTAACAGATGTCATAATGGTTGTGCTACTGGAGTCCCACATAGCTGACCACAGTTCGAGTCCCTGGCCTGGTAGCTTAAAACTTATGCCAGGTGTATGTACATGTATGCCCAAAATCCTGAGAAAACAATGGAGGAGAAGGGATTGAGGCATGGCCAACTCCCCCAGGGGCGAGCCCTAGCTTTCTGTCTCTTAGCAAGCACACATGCCCTATAGCAAAAATCCCTCCCCCCCAAAAAAGGATGAGCAAGGGAGTAATAAAGAAAATACAGTAAAAGGTTAATTGTAGAATGTGGGTAGTGAGTACCTTAGTGTCCAAAAATATACTTTTTACAAGTTTTCTATGTGTTTGAAAAATCTTCATAATAAAATACAACAATATTTTAGGTACAGAAGGAAGAAGTCAGATCAATGATATTAAAAAAAAAAAACTATCAGAGAATAAAGGTCAGTCAGAAAAATAATCCTACAGAGTAGAACTTTTTGTGAGTTGGGTCAACTTGAATAGCCTTAAGGAAGTGCATGAAGCCACCAAAATCACATGACAGATTTGGTGGTATTTGCATCTTTGCTGTCTTACAGTTTTAACCTAGATAAATCTGTGACCCCCCCCCTCTACCCCCTTAAAAGGTTACATTTTGTTTTAGGGAAAAGCCACCTAAAGAAGAATCAGAAATGCCCACATAAGAGACTTTATCATATTTGCCTGGGGGGCTATGGTTTTGCTTGGATATTCTAGAATTATTCTTTACTCATTCATAAAAGCACTGAGGGTCAACCACACACAAGGCATCACAGTAGAACTGAGGATGTGGCAGTCTAAGACAAGTGGGTTCCTGGCCCTCTGACAGCCTAACTCTATCAGAGAATATTAAACAACTAGTGGACAACATTAACTACTTAATCACAAATGTAATAAGTGCCAGGAAAAAAATATACAGGGTGAATTAATATACATAATAGGGTCTTGCCTTTGATAGCCAAGAGTAAGGAGAATAGACCAAG